CAGGTTATGGCTACATGAATAAAATTACATGGTTCTTTTTACACTTTTGTTTCTTTGGTGGTTTTCGAAGTGTGTCACTTACTAGAAAGGGAGCTTCTTGGGCCCCTGTTCTGGACCTACTGAATCAGAAACTTGGTGGGAGAACACAACACTAGTGCTTTACCGAGCCCACGAGGATATTTTGATGCATTCTAGATCAAGTCTGAGAAATACTGCCTTAGGACATGGTGCAGTTAGGGAAGAGTGGATAGCAGGGAAAAAATCTGGCAGTGTGAGGCGATTACTGCTGAAAGGGCCCAGACCACATGGCATAGCTATATCTTCTCTTCAGTGGAAGTGTCTGTCTCTGCCACTGCAGTGCCTACTAGTACTCTTATTCTTTGAAAGACAGGAACTGTGATAGAGATTTATTCCTGCTCCTAACAATGTTGTGGAGTGTTGACAGAGGGTGCTGTGTTGATGACTGTCTGCTCAGTTTCAGAGTGCTGTTTATTCTCTACTTCCCATTCTTCCCATTACTACGCTCCACTGGGATGTATCTTGGGAGGTCCTTTGCCGAGTATCAAACACCATGTTCTGCTGCTGGCCTGGACCTGCTCCAATACTTCCCCTACCTTAGAGGAAGAGGGCAATCATTTCTGGTTCATTTCATCCTATTTTGGTTAACTAGCCAAGCTCATCCTTGCCCCAGGTTCACCTAGTGAATATTAGCTCATATTTGGGCATAGGTTATTATAATGATTTATTTTATTTATTATTTATTTTTTCAGTGTAAAATTTTATGTTTAGAATTTTTATGGGACCCAGTTTAGATGATCCCAGTTTTGTTGGCAATGTCCAAAGCATCATAGTCGGGATCCAGGTGAACATACACCTTTTTCTCTCCATCAGGCCTGCTCAGTGTTGACCTTGACCATGTCAATGTCACAGAGCTTCTTCATAGCCTGTTTAATCTGGTGGTTGCTGACCTTGACCTCCACAATGAACACAAGTGTCCTGTTTGTCTTATTCCTTCTTCATGGCCGACTTGGTTGTTGGGAACTTGAGAATGGCATAATGGTCAAGCCTGTTTCTCCTGGGAGCGCTCTTCCAAGGATATTTAGGCTGCCTTCAGAGCCCCAGTGTTGTTGGCCATTGAAAGGTGGCTGACGTACGGATCTTCTTGTGTGTGTGTGTGTGTGTGTGTCTGTGGATGCCTTTCAGTACTGCTTTCTTTGCCTTCAAAGCCTTTGCTTTGGGTTTGGGTTTGGCTTCGGCTTTGGGAGCGGTAGGGGCTTCCTTCTTTGTTTTTGGCATCATCTTTGTGAAAAGGCTATAATGCTCCATGTTTAAAAAGCTTCAAGTATAAAATGTCACTAACAAATTTTTTCTCCTCTTCGCTTACCCCAACCATTTTATCTGGCATTCTCTAGAACAACAGCATTTCCCAAGACATGTTTTTAAAAGATAGTGCATATGAAAATGGCCTGGGGTTAAATAAATCTGGGAAATGCTAGGTTAAACACATTTAATCATATTTATTTTACACATAACTTTTTAGAGTCTCTCATCTATGAAAACTCATTATGAATTTCCACATGGGGCAATTACAGAATGAATCCTTTTGTAAGCATCCTTGCCCATCAAACATATGAGTAAAGATTATGGCTCAAGGCACATGTTTTAGAAAATGTATCTTTAAAGATTAATGGGGAAAGTCTTGTAAAAAAATCTACAAATTAAGCATGCAGTGATGGAGGGCTTCCTTAAAGTTGTGGGAATGAGAATATTATTTCTAGTGTTTACAGATACAAACATACAAGTTTAAAACAATAGTAAAGCCTTCCTCTGACATGAGTCTTAATGATCTAAGTTTTCAAAACAACTCACCTTTGCAGAATTCATGAACATAAAGCTGTGAGAGATGGAGCTGCTGCTGTGTGTGTACCTCTCCAGAATGTAATGTGAATGTCCCCTCTGGAGTCAAGTGATGCTAAAGCCCAGAGAGCAAGAGCTCAGCGGCTGCCAGGGAGGAGCCTGGTCCTGTTGCTCTAGAAGGATGCAAGATTCCATTTGTTTTCAAGTGCTGAGCTTTGCTTTGTTTGTACTTATGGAAAAATATAGTCACAGCTTTAAAGTTTCAGTCTTTGGTATATAACATAGTTTATCTTATCGTAGAAATTGTGAGACACATATGCTGCTTGGATAATGTCAATTTAATCATTCATTTTACTCTCCCCTCCGACCCCCCTTTTTCCAGAAAACTTGAGACAAGAGTGAAGTATAAAAAGCTTTGAGTGCTGTCATTTCTTGATGCCGGAGAATTTCTCGAACCCTGCATTTTAAGCCTTCACAATAGAGCAATAACTTCTCTCATAAATGTTAAATAATTTTGGCTCTTTTTCACCAGACAATAGCTTGATTGCATCGCTAGGTTTCTTGATTCAAAAAGCAAGGTGGCAATAGCCAAAATGGGAAGAGAAGAAGCCTCTAAGGTGGAAGATAAAGACGAGCGTATGTATGAAATTAAATGCAAGCATGCACTGAATTGTTCAGCCTCTTATCCTCAGTGGGGCTGGAAAGACCCAGGGGTCATTAGCCACCCAGGTGACTTACATAAAGTGGAAATCATGAAGGGCAATGAAGAGAGTTCCAGTAGAGTATGGGTGCACAACAATGTGAATGTACTTAATGCCACTGAACTGTGTACTTAAAAAAATGGTTAAGATGTTAAATCTTATGTTGTGTGTACTTTACCACAACTAAAAAAAAAAAGAACATTGCAGAGACAGGGAGAAGCCTGATTGTGTAAGACAGAGTGGGAAGCAATAAGGATTGTGCTCTAAGGTTATGGAGTTTGGACTTTTGAGCTCCAGAACTGTAAGAGAATAAATATGTGTCATTTTAAGCCACCAAGTTTGTAGCATTTGTTATAGCAGCCATAGGAAATTAGCACATCTGCTAAGAAAAGATTGTCCCTGTCTGAGTCTACTTGCACTCCTACCCATGTGTGAGAAACAGGACTATTAAGTGATGGTGCAATTCAATCCATAATAGAGCGGATTCTTCACCGATTCAGTGTCTGGTCCTCAATCCTGTATATCTAAGAACTCCTTTTCCGGGGTTCATCAGGTATGATCAGCTTAAGGAGGAATACAGATTAACTTAACTCACAGGAGAGATATAAACAACACCACCCATTTATTGGTTTATTCATGGAAATATAAACATTAAATGCATCAGTTTACTCAGCTTAGCAGCCCAATGCAGCTTTGTCTTGCTTGGGAAATGTAAAGTCAGAATGAAGGCTACTAGTGTGTCTAGACGGCTGATGTACAGCCTGGTGCACTAATCTCCTCCACTGATTAGAACAGGGGTCCCCAACGCTGGCCTGTTCAGAAGCAGGCTAAAAGAAATGCTCCCGTGAGCTCTGCCTCCAGTACAATCCCACCCGCACCGCCACCACACCCCCCCCCCCCCCCCCCCCCCCCACAGCAGGGGAGTAAAGCTCACCTGAGCTCTGCTTCCTGCTCCCCTACCCCTCTCCACCTTCCACAAAACCTGTCCATGGTGCTAAAAAGGTTGGGGAACGCTGGATTAGAACACTGAGATTGGTCAGACCAGTCCCCCTCTCCTGACTTTGCTGAGACATTCTGGCAAATTCCGACTTGTACTCACTACCTTTCTAGAGTCCTTGAAAGTCATCATAATGCTGTTTTGGCAATATTCCTTCAGATGTCCTATAAGGATTAAATGTCCATTTATAGGATCTCCTTAGAGACCTGGGTTGCCTTCCCGCCAGGAACACATTCATACACCACCTCATCATTCATTCACTGAATCATTCAAGAAACACTTCATATTTTCTAAGTGCTAGACACTGTGTTAGGATTTGAGACCCAAAGACAAGATAAAGGCCTTACTTTCCAGCAGTCTTATAATTCTTTTCCGTAGATTAAAAGCTGTTGTTATTTCTTCTGTAGCCGATCTTATCCATTTCCTGTGATTTCATGAACTTCATTTTTGCAGGATATTGTTTCGTGACTCTCATTGTCAAATTTAGGAATGGTCCAGTTGAGGAACTATAAGCCAGTCCGATCAATTCAATAAAAAAGCCCACTATTCAGACAATATGATTTTGACTAGCTTATCTATGTATTAACATTTCCCTAATCTAGTGTGACAAAGAGCCTAGCATTTAAACACTATGCATGGTGTTAACATCCCTACAAAACAGAGGGGAGAGCGCCACTGCCGTTTGTCAGAGTTGGGTACCGGGCATCCCTTCCATCTCAGTTTTGTTTAATGGCAACTCATTTTGTCATTACGAGCGACTCTGCTCTAATTTTTTCAAGTCCAAAATTCAAAACCATTTGAAAATTCACTCTAGTTTACACTCTAGTTTATATCCATAGTTCATTGCACATCTAACCTCTAAATGTCTGATTATTGAGCATATAGGGGTTTTCCTGTCTGGATTTTCATAGATGGAACATGTTTGGTAAACATTCTTTCTTGGTTTGGTATCACTGTAAATTAGTGTTGTGGTTTGAACATTAATATAAACTAGAAACCAGTGTCAACTAGGGAAGCCCAGGAGAGGATTGATATTCTGTGTGAGCTGGGACAAGACAGTCATCTCTCCTGGCCTCAGTTTCCTTGTTTGTAAATGGTAGTTCAATTTTATGTCTATAGTTTCTCAGTCCTAACATACAATAGATTCTTTAAGAATCTTTGGAAAACATCATGGCAAAAAGTTAAAGTTTTTTTTTAAAAAAAATTATCCAATCCACTTCATGGAAATCTTCAGAATTATTTTAGACAAATTCACTTTGAGTAGTTGATCAAGTAGATGTCATGACTACTTAGTCATCCTTGCTTTTACAAAGTTAATTGTTTAATGGAAAGGAGAGGCACCATTAAATACAGCTACACACAAAACCCGCAATTACTTCTGTGAAACAACTTTTTAATTTCCATTTCCTGTTTACAAAAAGACAACAAGTATATGGAGTGGGGAAGTAGTAATACGTGGTCACCCCCAGAGCGTGGAGGGAGAGGCCCACAGCCAACAAGATTGGGTCAGGCTGCTCTTCCCTGCCATTATCAGTAACAGCAAAGAACCAAAAGAAGTCCGAGTGTGGGTCAAAGGCTTATGTTAAAAAGATCAGTCTATTAGGCACAGTCAGATGATCTGTCAAGTCCATGTCTATGAAGAGGAAAAAGGCCCAAGTCTGCTTAATGAGGCCTTGGCTCGGGGCGGGCTCGGGCCTGTCTCCTGTAAGATCTGGGCGGCCGTCTCCAGGGCACATAGGGGTCGTGACGTACATTCTGGGGAAAGCCCCTGTGAACCACAGGGGCTGGCTGCTGATGATACGGTGTGGAGAAGGGGACCCTGGGAGGCTGGGAATCAAACATAAATTCACCTTCAGAGTCAAATCCTATCTGGGTAGATGAGGGGACATCTGAATGCAAATAGTTTAAGAAGAATTGACCTGACTGAAAATGCTGGTCGGAGGAAAAACAGGTGTCTTGGGGACCGTAAGAGGGGTGGGGGCTCATGGTCGGGTGATAGGCAATGGGAGGAAGTTGTGGGGGCTGTGGTGGGGGCAGGGGTAGGTGGGGAGCTGGGAGAGGGAGCAGGGTGCGGTGCCTGGGAGAAGGAAATGATGGGGGCAGGGGTAAGGCCTGCTCATTTCTGCTGGTCTGATACTGTCTCTCAGCCCCCTGTCCAGGTCCAGCCCTGATCCACTGGTTCACATGTTGGCGGCGGGGCAGGTCCACACCCCAGGCATCGGCCACGTGGGCCAGCAGCAGCTGGGAGAGGTGTCGGTGCGCCCGTTGGTCCCAATGTACCCCGTCTCCCTGCCGGTGCTCTTCTGCATGGCGGAAGTGGAAGTGCAAGTCCAACACATCAAAGTTGTGCTTCTTTGCCTCGACAAAGCTGTAGAAGTTGGCTTCAATCACCTTCTTTTTTAGGCCCAAGGACAAGGACGACTGCTCCAGTGGGAGGAAGCCCCCGGTGATCTTCTCGCCCACAGGCATGGCTGTGTTCCACACCAGGAGGCAGGACTTTGGCAGCACCTGGCCCAGGTGCCCAAACAGGTTCTCCAGGTTCTTCCGGTAGCTGCTAAAAGAGTCCTGCCCATACCTGGAGATGTCCCAGAGACAGGAGTTAATGATGACCACATCTGGGGTGTGCTCGTGGGACTGCAGCTCTTTCAAGACGTCTTGGACATAGACGCTGTACACACGCGTGAGGAAGTAGAAGCGCACCAGATGGTGGTTGGTGCAGAACTCGCGGACTTCACGGTAGGTGGTGCCGTTGTGCATGGCATCCTTCTGGCCTCCATTCACCAGCTTGTCCTGTTCAAAGCTCAGCTCCCCCTTGACCCTGAGCTGCTTGGGACTGAGCAGGCAATCCTTCTGCAGCAGGAGCACCAGGTCCTTGTACACGGACCTCTGGACAGAGTCTCCCAGGATGACGATGAACTTGTTGTGGAGCAGCTGCCGCACTTCGAAGGACCGCAGGTGGGCCATGATGCCCAGGTCAAGTGGCCTAGCTCCTTCCTTTGCACGCGGGTTGGTCTGGAGATAGCTAGGACAGAAGGAAAGAGCAGCTGGGAGGAGCGAGCAGCCTGGGCAGGCAGGCCCTCTGTGTGGTTAGGACTCGGCCAGGGATGAAGTTTTGGCCCGGGAAAGCCTCAGGGCAGAACTCCACCACCTTAAGGCTGAGGGAGGAGAGACAGAGCAAGGAGGGAGCTTGTAGTCAGAAGCCCTGCTTGGCCTGGTCTTAGCTTAGGCCTGGGACTTGACCTCTGAACCGCCTGTGGCTGCTCTTGGAGGCCCAGGTTCCATCTAGCCAGGTGGGGCCAACCCGGCCCGCCCTCCCCTATTAGAGGTGCAAAGGGCCACTGGGAAGGCAGCCCAGACGTCTGACAACTGGGGAAAGGTTAGACTAACTTTGCAGCTGCTAAACAATGGGGAGTGTGAATAAGCAAAAGCATGGAGAATGCTTGTAATATGTAAAGATGAGGAAGTTACAGACCACATGTGTGCCCCGTATCACTGAAACGATATGAAATAGATACGCATAGATAACACTGAAAGAAAACATGCAAAAAGTTTTTAATAGTAGGATAAATGAAATCACTTTCCCCTTTTTTGGTAAATATATTTTATCTTACATTACTTTTAGTAACTTAAGAATTCAAATGGAAAGCAACATAAAGTACGAGTACCTGTATCAACAGGTCTTATACAAAAGAAATAACATTGGGAATAATTCATGTGTTTCTGTTATAATACTCTTTGCTTTCCATTTGAAGGAGATCAGAATATGCCACTCCCAAATATGCCACTTTGGTATAAGGATGATTTTGAGCTGAAGGCACTTAAGAATCAACAGACACAGGAAGGGTTCTCTGTTCTCCCCTCATCTGCCTAAAAGCAGTGTATAAATTCCCTTTTGAGGAAATTGCCCCTTCTCCAACCAAAGAGGAGTCACGGAAGAAGGCAGGGAGGGGTTAACACCAGGACAAGTTTCCGTGTAGAGACCTTACCAAAATAGCCCATATTTTCCATCAGTTTCCCCATATAGTCGCTGGTCACTTCCCCACAATTTCTCATCCCCTGAAGCCCAAACACTTTTTCCTTTGTTAAAATGGTATGTAAACTCCTGAATGTTTCTTTGAGTTTCATATATTTTCTATGAACTCTAGTGCACTTAAATATCAATAAAAATCATGGTCCTTTTCTCTGGCTAACCTGTCTTTTGTTAGTTTAATCACCGGGCCCCAGGAACTGAACCTAAGGGGCAGGGGAAAGTTTTCCTGCCCCAGCATATTGAATAAAATGTTGAGTTGTGAAACTCATATTCAAAACTTGAGATGAAGTTTATTTCAAGCTGCCATTTACAACCATAGCTAGTGATGAATAAAAGGTAGAAACACACTTCAATGCTACTAACAAATCTCGGATGGGGAGGAAGATGGCATCCACTGTGTATACTTACACAGAAGCTGTTAACATCCCCTGCGGTGTGATCTCTGTAGGCTTTTATGCATTAGTAAATATTTTAATAGGTGTGGGTGGACAACTATTATTAAATGACACACTCAGCTTTTAAAAGCAAATACTATTTCTAGTTTTAAATGAGTACAAACAGAAAAATAAAACCACGAAAATGGACAGAATATAAGAGTTGCCCTAAGACAACAGAAAATATTGGCTTAATTCCCCGCAAAGAACCTCCATTAAAAAAAAAGTGCCCTGACTTGTGCGGCCCAGTTGGTTGGGCATCATCCTGCAAACCAAAAGATCTTGGGCTTGACTCCTGGTCAGAGCACAAATCTTAAAAACAAAAAACAAACAAACAAACAAAACCCCTGAAAAATAGAATTTAGCTTACGATGGTACAACAAAATAAAACTTAATTAAAGTAAGCTTCCTATCCCACTTATTAACAATCATTTATTCATCTAACTCACACTAACTCCTACTAAATGCACCACATGGGGGATGTAAAATGAGTAAAGCTTGGTCTTTTCCTTCATGAGCAGATTGGAAATATTCATTGATAAGTGTAACACAAAGTGGAGAGTGTAAGTGCCATGAAAACAGAATGAGCAGGTGCCATAGACTTTCAGATGTCTTTGTGAATGGTATTCTATACCCCAGACCCAAGTCTCCAAAGCACAACGTGCTGGGGAAGACTCTTCCCAGTGTTTCCAGGGTGCCCATGCCATCCAGCTGTGTGCCGCCTTTGGGCTGGCACTCGGTCATAGTCTCTGCCCAGTCCTCTAGGGCACTGAACATCAAAAACCTCTGCCACTAGAGTTTTCTCCCCTAGGTCGGCAGATCTGATAACCTACTGCTGTCTCTTTCAGTGCTATTTTTTAAAAGATTTTATTTATTTATTTTTAGAGAGAGGGGAAGCAAGGGAGAAAAGAGGGAGAGAAACATCAATGTGCAAAACATTGATCAGTTGCCTTTTGTACAACCCAACCAGGGATCCGGCCTGCAACCCAGGCACATGCCCAGACTGGGAATCAAACCGGAGAGAGACCTTTTGGTTTGCAGGATGACGTCCAATCCACTGAGCCACACCAGTCATGAGGGTTCCTTCAGTGCTATTTTGCTTACATAGTCTAATGGATTCTTTCTCTAGATGTGAAGAGCCTTACACTTGGACTCACAGAAGAGTCCAAATGCAGTGGGAAATGGAGGCACTTAAGTATACTGGTGAAGATCACTGTTCTTGAAACCAAACTCTAGGTTTCAATCCAGCTCTTCGATTTGCTGAGAGCTCTCAGTCTTCGAGCAAGTTATTTAGCCACTCTCTGATGTAAGTTTCTTCGTCTGTAAAATGGGGCTTACATTACCCACTTCATAAATTTGATGTGAGGATTAAATATAATGTTTATAACAATGCCTGACAAGTAGTAAGCATGGATAAGAGCTACTCTTTTTACTCAGCACGTTTCAGAATACCACATTAACCATCTGTGAAAAGGAGATTACAGGATTTCTGCTGCTTGTCTAGCAGGGTACTGCAAAGATCATACGAAATGATGGAAGTGAAAGATTTTGAATAAAACGAAATTACTGTTTACTAAACGGCTACTGGGTGCTAGGTGCTTAACAAATGTTACCCTATTTATAGGATAATTCTGATTATTCATCTTTGATAGGGAAGAATATTGATGCGATGGAGCCAAGACTTAAAACCACTGACTCTCAAATCTGTCTCTGTAGAAACCTCCTTCGGACCAGAACCCCCTGCAGGCTAGTCTGAATCCTACAGCGTGGCTCAGGTCAGGAGGGTGAGATAGGGTGCGGGTCTTTGGTGTGCCTCTGCATATAGGCAGGCCACCATTTACTCTGCCTGCTCAGGGCAGGAGGTCCACATGCACTCGGCTGTGTGTGCGTAGTGGGGGCTCAGTAAGGGTGGAAGTGGGGGTGTATGTAAATGAGAGCATATTTTTTTCATCCCATTCCATAATCTCAAGCAGGAGACATGAAAAAATTTAAAAATCTGGATTTTAGAAAAACCAAAACAAAATTCTAAAGATTCCTGGGCAGCCCTGTAATCTTGACCAGAGAACTTAATCCACCCAGATGCTGTTCCAAGGGTTCAGAGTCAAAATCAGGCAAAAATGTCCATCTAAGAATGTATTGTTTTTCTGCAGTGGAATATGTAGATAGGACTGTAGAAAAGAAGGGAAGGGGAAATGACTGAGCAGAAGCCTTCCAGTTAGGAAGTTCATGAACTTCTTGGTGGAGAATGCTGCAACTGTAACAGGATTAACAAGTCAGACACCCTCGGGACTATTGTTGTGGGAAAGAATCCTTTAAGCTAAGATGGCAAACATTAAAAACAAAACCAACTAAAAAAAAAAAAAAAAAAAAGAAAGGGGGATTTTTTGGGGGGATGTGAGTAGAGAATAAATTGGAGAGCTAAATCTTCTTTCACCTTAAAAAACTGTTGGTTACCTCTAAGTATTTTCAAAACTCTTTTGTATTTAAAAAACTGAAACATAAAGGGATTTGAAATCAGGTCAGTGTTCTTTTTAGCTGATGCTTCTTTCCTTCCTTCAAATTTGCTAAACTCACTTATCAGTTTTGGTAGCTATTTTATAGGTAGATTGCCTCGTTCATTCGTTCATTCATTCATTCAATAAGGATCAGCAAGAACCAGATATTGTGCCAGGCGTAAAGATGAGGTATAAAAATGCAGTCTCTTCTCTCAAGAGGAGGGGTATGGAAAAGGACAGGAAAAACATCAAAGAAAGAGCTAGCAGCTAGAACTGATGTATGTAAATGAAGCACCAAAGCCTGTGGGAAAGGTCAAGGGAGAGAGGGAAGGTTGGCGGGATGATCATTGCAATCTGGGATTCCAACATCAAATGAAAACCAGTGTTTAAAGAGTGTCATCATGATTCCTCAAGTCATAATTATAGGTAGTGGGATGTTTTTCTGTTTTCAAAGTAAAATTTGGCTTTTGGATAAAGCTCTGACAGAACTATGCATTAATAATGGCTTTTACTATATAATAAGTTACTTTCAAGCATCCTGCTTAGATTTCTGTTTTGGGATAATTAATTTTTTAATAGCTTCGTAAGCCATGACTTATAAATCATTGAGTATTGCTTTATAACTATCACAAAACAAACATATAGCATTTGTTTTCCATAAATCAATGTGTTGTAGTAATTAGGTTAATTTTTTCTTTTCTTATTGATGTTTCGTTACAGGAAGAGTGACACATTTAATAGGGCAGTAGCTCCAGAGGCCCTGCAGAGAAGTCTTAAATCACAGAGGTAATCACGATCAATTAGGATGTTGCTTCAATTGATTAGTTGTAGGAAATGCTTGTAACTGGTTTAAAAGTTTCTCGCATATGACTACCCATCTTAATGCAACATTATATTGGGAATATAAATAGTTCATCTCCTTCAAACTGCATTTTGGTGATCAAATCAATGCTTTGAACTTTCCAAGATTCCCTTAAATTTTATGGAATAGATGGTACAAAGAAGAATATAATTATTTTTCATGAACTTAACTCTACAACTTAGGTGTTGGCATTGGTTAGTTTTCTAAGTGGAATTTAAACTTGTCAAAAATTAAATTGCGTGGCACATAAAGTTTTCAAAAAAAAAAAAAGCAAATGATTCTTAACTCTTTTGAGAAAGCTTAATGAATGGCCTGTGGATTGGGGGTTGATTTGGGATAAGTCAGTTAATATTCACTCCTCCTCTACATAACTTGGAAATGGGGAGGATTCAGGCCTACTGTTTTAAAAAGTGGTTTTAAGAACACATTTTTAAAAATACATAAAAGTACTATGAGATACTATGTGAAATAATGCAACAAAAATATTATCTCCAAAAAGCCATTGGAAAGATCGATTCCAAATCCCTACCCTCAATAATCTCACCGCTAAAACAGCCTCAGTTCTGCAGCCCATTAAGTAATCCAGTAAAAATTTAGAGAACACATGTGTCTACCTGGGGCTGTGATAGCTGTCGCTGTGCAAATCTGACTCACCCCGCAAACAGCCATGGTGGTTCCTCTACCACATCCCTAAATTACCCAACTCCACCCTACCGTAGGGCCCCAATTTCTAACTTGGCTGTTTAGTTCGTTCTAAACATAATCTAAAATCTCAGATATATGGGACATAAATGGAAAATTAAAACTGCTATAGTGATCTTCAAACTGGACTCCGGTAACCATGGGTTTTTCTTGTCGAGGCAGGAGTCTCTAAGGACCTATTCTATCTGTTTATCTATTCTGTCTCTACCAGGTCACAATCTTAAATTTGTGACTCTTTTCAATAAAAAAACAACAGAGGAATTTCTCATACTCTGACAATCTAAAATGCAGTAGACATCCTTTATAAATGAAGTGGGATTCAAAATACCTAGTATGCAAACAACTTCTGTAAAAGTAAAAAATAAACTACGGAGCCTTTAATTGAATAGCCCCATTTAAAAGCAAACAAACAAACCTTTTTAACAAAAGGATTTCTTAAAGTGAAAAATCAATTCACATAAACAACATGATAGCGGTCATGTACTGGTTACAACAAATTTCTACACTATGGTCTCAAACCATTAATTAAAGTACATTTGTTAACCTCCTTCCTATTACTCTCTAACATGAATGAAAGATATTGGAAGGCAGTGACCCGGCTTTCACTTCCAGGAAACACTGAAGTCAGACTTGAACTCTGGCTCTCAACAGCTGTGTGCTCTTGGGTTAGCTGCCCAACATTCTGAGCCAGTTTTCTTTGGCATCAAAACAGGGGTTTCATCACCGACTTCAATGAGTAACAGTAAAGAAAAAAGGGATCACGTCAAAGTCTATCAGGGACTTAATACAGGGCCTGCCACGCATTAGGCACCTTTAAACCTCTGTCACTGCAACCGCTCCCTGCTGGGACTCCAGAGAAAACTAAAGTCTACAGACAGCAAGCACCTCGCTTAGTTCCCTCCCTCAAACCTTCAGACCTGCAGACCCCCTTTCCTCCCTCCCACAGAGGGAGAGCTGTACCTCCTCAGACGCAAAGGTAATCCTCAGCTCAGGTAGCTCTTCTTCCAGTGTCTCAGACACTTTGCTCCAGGAGGTCCCTGTGGCGAGGGAATAATTATGCATTCCACTTTTTCTTCAGTCTCCTCAGGCTGGCTTCTTGCGTAAGCATTAAATACATTCTAGTTTCTTTCTTCAAGAAAAAAGGAAACTTCTTGGACTCCACCTCCAGGACAGTCCTATCTTTTGCCTCCCCTTCAAGGTCACTTCTTAAAAAGAGTTGTTTGCATGGGCTGTTTCTGGGCCCTCACCTCCTACTTAGTCTTTTTTTTTTTTTTAACTTTTATTTGGCTTCCAGCTCCATCAAACCAAAGAAATGTTTGTCAGTAAATCACCTATGACTTCCTTGCTGCTCCTTTCAATGGCCATTTCTAGGTCTTGGTCGAATTCCCAGCCCTGGGGGCTGGAACGCTGGTGGTCACTCCCCCCTGAAAAACTATGGAGAGTCTGACACCCACCTCTCCTCTCTCACCTTCCCCAGCGTCCTTTGTGAGTTACTCTTTCTCCAGCAATTCCCCAAATGTTGGTCTTTCTCAAGGTCCACTAATCGACTCCTTTCTTCTTTTCTTCAACATTCTTTCCCTTGGTAAATTCACCCACTCTCACAGCATCTGTCAATAAGGTTCACAAGTCCCTGTTTGCCCCGAAGTGTTCTGTTTACTGCTGTTTTCACAGCATAATTCATAGCTCCCCTCTCCCCCCCACTCAAAATCCCCAGTTTGGATGCAAATAAATTATATGGTCCTCTTATCAATTACCATTTGTATGCAGATGACTCTGAATCGAGGCAATAAAGCACAGGGGCCGAGAGGGTGGGCCCTGGGGTCGGCCCCCTGGGTTTATATCCTGCCCCACTATTCACTAGCCTCTGAGATCCTGGCAGGCCAGGTAATCCCTCTGCACGTTAGATTCCTCATCCAAAAAATTAGGAACTGCACTAGGGGTTTCTCAAGAAGTGAAGGGTACAGGAGCATGAGGTCTGCCCCATTTGTAAGTGCTCAATAAATCTGGCTAGCCCGAACTTGCCTCCTGAGTTCCAGACACATTCAGGTTAAGTACAACAAAGTTTCAAGGTAGTGGGGAGGGGAAGGGGAAGGCGTAAACTAGCCTATGCAGGTCTCTTATCACTTCTAAATTCTCTAGATGCCCATTTATCCTCCCAACAAACTGTGGCTGAATTCCTAAGATAATTCTCTTGTGACCTTTAAACTCTCTTCCTAAAGGTAAATATTGGTCCTCAGTGGGAATGAAGGCAGCGTTTTTTTGCTGTACACTTTTGAAGAGCCTGCTATATAATTTACACTTAAAATGCTGGCAATAAATAGTTGTAAATAAATTCTGCTTCTGAACTGCCTGAATCAAGTCATTTTTATTTTTCATGACTGTGGCTGTTTCCATTATTCCAAAAACATCAAAATGGTATAGAATGATAGCCTGGCTATAGAACAGTTCACCCATTTCTTGGCAATAAAAAAATAAGACACAATTCTTGAAAATATATTTTAGGGAGGAGGATGGTATAATGTATTTGGGGAGCTTAGCTTAGTGAACACTTCCACCTCTGTTTTAGATTTTTATGGTTAATTTCTCTTTCTATAAATTACTCTCAAACCCTAAGAAAGTGTCTTAATTTGAAATTCTTTCTAACATGGTATTTTTATTTTATCTGTGTTTTCAAATTTTATATCTTCACTTTCATTTGAAAAGCTAGCATAACTCCAACAGTTTGCAGTTATAAACTTTGTTTTTTAACCTAGGCTATGATCCTTCCTTCTCTGCAGCTCCCCAAAGCCCAATTACAAAGGTGAATGACAGAGCTTGTGCATACTCAGAGAGCTTTTTCTCACCTCTTCATGTTTGCTCTGCAAATCAGTATTAAATGTTCCCTAACTCCTTCCTCTACCGGAATTCTGCTCATTCTTCTTCTTCTTCTTCTTTAAAGATTTTATTTAATTATTTTTAGAGAGAGGGGAAGGGAGAGAATTATCAATGTGCAGTTGCCTCTTGAGCACCCCCTACTGGGTACCTGGCCTACAACCCAGGCGTGGACCCTGACTGAGAATCGAACCAGAGACCCTTTGGTTCGCAGGCCAGCACTCAGTCCAATGAGCTACACCAGCCAGAGCTCTGCTTGTTCTTTAAGATCTAGTTTAAAATGGAATTCTGTCTGTGAGCTTTCCCTATTTTCCCATTCAGAAAAATCTCTTGGTCCCCTGACGGATGCCTCTATTAAGCATGTGGTTCCATTTTGTACTATGACTAAATGCCCATTCATCTTTTTACCACAGTGTATCCTAGTCTTGGATGGCCGAAATGGGTTTTACTCATCCTTGTACCCCTCACAGACCAGTGTTTTACACATCATGGTTAGCACTCATTGAGCATTTACTCTATGCCAGGCTTATTTAATTCTCACAAACTAATGAGTTAGCAACTATTATTATCTTTCTGATATGGATAAGTAAACTGAGGCCTGGAGAGGTTATGTAAATAGCCCAGAGCTGTTCAGCGAGTAAAAGGAAGAACTGGTCTTTTACTGACTGTGAGTCTTCTGATTGATTAGGTAAGGTTAAGATTTTGTTTTGTTTCTTTAGGAGGAAATATGGCTCCAGAGCCTGAGCTTTTAACCTCAGCTATAAATATTTGTTGAAACCTTGAGAAAAAAAATAGTCTTTTCTAGAAAAAGATATTTGCATGTAGTTCTCCTTTTTATTATCTGTTGGAAAACAAAACAAAGTGAAGCAATGTTTTGTGCGCAACTTTAAATGTTTCCACAAGAAAACAGAGCAGGTATGAAGTCAACTTAGGACAGTTTTTATCACAATGTCCTACGTTATCTTAGGACATTGATAGCCAATTTCTATCAATGTGTAAATGAAAAACTCAGTTACTGCACTAAAGCTATATTTTTATACTTACGCTGGCTACTCTAGATTCTAATCAATGGTTGAATGAAAGGTTCCCATGGTTGAAAAGGAGTGTGATGGAGAGCTAATCATGACTAAGTTGCTTCCAGCCGATGAACAGGTTGGATTCTGAAATTCTCTCTCCAGGGATGGGCACAAAAGCCCATTTAACCAGTGAACATTAGGCTGAGTCAGCAGGCTGGGGTTTCTGTCACCTCCAGGGCTCGCTTCTCCTCTGTTTTCATCTTTTAAATGGGAGAGATGATCTGTATGCTTCTCTGAAGAGATTACACAAAAGAGCTTGTACAAACAAAGAAGAACAGAGACAGAAGCACAGATACAGAGAGCGTTTTGGTGGCCAGATGGGAGGGGAGTGTGGGGAGTCGGTAAAGAGGAGAGGGAGTTAAGAAGTACAAATAGGCAGTTACAGAATAGCTCTGAGGATGTAAAGTACAGCGTAGGAAATGGAGCAGCCAAAGAACCCACATGCATGACCCGTGGACATGAGCAGTGGTGGGGGGATGGCCTGAGGGGGGTCCTGGGTGGAGGGGGACCAAAGGCGGAAACCTCAGGACAACTGTAATAGCATATTCAATAAAATGTAATTTTTTAAAATAGAGCTTGTAAAATGGATATTATTTTATTGTTGTTGTTACTATTAATGATGCAGTTTCTAAGAGCCAGTCTGCCTGCCTTGCTCGCTACCCGTATTATTTCTTAGAAGGAGCTGGAGGACCTGGGTTCCCAGTGCTGTGTGTGGTGGCAGCGGGACTGAGGGTGGCCCTGTTTTCAAGCTAGAGGCCTGGGCACACGAGGCGGGGAAAAGGTCCGGGAAGTGAGGAAGCTGACAGAACAAGAGTCCATGCTGGGGAAATAACGCACGAGGGCCCTAGGCTTTCCCCAAGCCCTGTTTCCTCCCTTCTGCTCAAAGTGTGGACCTATGCGCTTCTCCTTCGCCGAGTCCTGTACAGCTTCAATCCCTCGGGAACAAAAATAAGTCAACAGCTCACCACTGCCCACCTTAGGGTGAACTGTGGAAATCAAAGGAAACTTTGCTCCATAAACTTTACAAATGTTAATTATTGTTTTTCTGAGCCACCTCAGCATTTTGGGGGGATGAGCTTCAGCAATTAAGGGAACTTTCCAGTAAATGAAATATTTAACTTATTACTTAGTAACAATAATGTAACTTATTTAGTAACAGTAGTTGGTACCCACTGCTTATGTTAATATGTTTTACCTGCTTACCTAATCATTCCTCGTAAGAACCCTGTGAAATTGGTACTTCTTTGTCTTCATTTTACACATTCGAAAATGAAGTTTGGCAGACTGAGTCATCTGCCCGAGGTCATCCATTTTATAAAAAGCAGAGCTGGGAGTCAAAATGATGCCAAGCCTTTGTGGTCAACCACAACATACAAGATTGCATATATTACAGATGCTTTACATCCTTTCTTGTTCACAACCTACCATTTCCTCTCCCTTTACATGTTTAGAGGTTCAGTAGTTTATCAGTCCCTCTCATTATGAAATAACAGTTGTCTCTGTGGGGCTGTTTGGTTAAGTGCCGCTGGCACGGAGCGGGCTAGGGCGGTGATTCCTGCCTGCAGAGAGCACCCAAGAAATGAGAATGCCAAGAAAGGCTGGTCAGAAATGCAAAAGTAATGCCTCAAATAAAATGGAAAAACTGAAAAGTACTTACTCATTAAAGTAACTGGTGATTTAAAAATGTACCTCTTCGTTGATTCTACATCTCTTGCTTAGAGACTCCTTTCTTGGCTGTAGGTCAGAGTACCGGGGTGAGGAGAGAGCCCAGAGCCTGGGCTACAAGGCAGATAACATTTACTTCTGGGTGCTGCTACATTTGTGAGCCAGCGTCAGGGGAGAGGATGCCATTTCCGGTGGCATCTGGGGCAAATGACACGAGTCAGCATTTATTTTCTTGCATTAGGAAGCGGAAGGCTAATGACCGAAGCTTTGAGACTTTGGCAAATATGAAAACACAGTGATTAGTAAGTCCACGATTTAGCATCTTCCAGGAATTTGGCTCTGAGCTTATTTTCATTTCACATTTCTCAGTAACTTGTGTGTAGCTGCTACGATCTTC